AGTCTCATAGTTTTACTTCTGATATTGCTAGTTGTAAACGTAAGCGCTTTACTCATACTCTCCCGCACTTCTCGCTTGTGGAGCTTTCTTCTGGATTCCTGTTCTCCTGCCAACTACCCTCTTCACAAATTTAAATACAAGGTCAATCGTCATCTTCTGTCTTCTTGAATCATTTTTTTTTATTGTCCTTTCTGATTTTTTTTCTCCCAGTAACATTTTGCGTCTTAGTGACATTATTACCTTGCTTGGGGTGCAATGATTAAAAAAGAAGTTAAAAACGTTCTCGTTGCTCACACATTCCACTAATGGGAGCTTAGATATTACATAGCAGTTTAGCACTCTCAAAAAGACGGAAAAAAAAATTTGCTTGATTCCCTCGGGGTTTGTATTAAAATTCTGATTGGTTAGCGATTTAGTCGTAAAACTAGAAGTGCGCGTTTTGATATTTCGAAACTTGATTAACAACTTGTGACTGCTTTGATTATTGTTGGAGAAAAGCCAGTCACCCAACAGAATCGACTAGATGACATGACGAGAATTCTACTTGGTTTACGAAGTCATGAAATCGCTCTTAAGTCACAATGACCTGTCTCTTAAAACTGGTCGGAGACATTCATACAGATTTTGATTAGCCTATTCTGGTTTCAATGAAGCAATAAAATTGTTTTGACGTTTCGCTTGGGATTGGTCCCTCGGTCGAGTGAATCAAACAAATAGTTGACTTTCCACGTGACAAAATAGCGTAGGTAAATATGGAGTGCTAATGTAGACTAGAGAGAAACCTATCTATCTATCTATCTATCTATCTGAGTTCAAAAGACTTATCTTTCGGGTTCAAGTTTCAAAGACACAGTACTTGTTACACACACACACACACACATATATATATATGAAGAAATATAGTTTTAAGGTGTGCTATATATATGGGATAAAGTGCTCAATATCAGAGATAGAGCGTATTTAAACATAAATATAAAAGTGAACATTGAAGTCAACACTCAGAGGCGACAGTCTATTTTATGCTAGGCGCAATCGTCTGATTGTGTATATATATATATATATATATATATATATATATATATATGTGTGTGTGTGTGTGTGTGTGTGTGTGTGTGTGTGTGTTTGTAGCGCAAATAAGATAGAGAGAGAGAGAGGAGGAGAGAGAAATTGTAAAATAATTTTCAATGCATTACAGAGTTTTAGTAATTCTCATGCATTACGATACTAAATTCATTAGCAATGCATTTACATTATACGGACATTTAATCACTATCTTCTGTCAGAAACACTCACAATATATATATATATATATATATATATATATATATATATATATATATATATATGAAATTGGTTAGAACGTTCGCATTCTGACCATGAGACCCAGGTTCGATTTGTCAGGAAGGAAACTTCCTGATATTGTCGGACTGGAGGGGTTGATCCCGCTGTGCTGTACCTTTGGAAAGTACCTGAGTGAAAATTGGGTAGATGGAACCCTTGGGAGCTGTCGATAGTTGTGCTCGCACGAAATCACAAGTCATCGTGTCCGAGGGCTCAAGCGTGCTTAAGCGTGCTGGCCTTTTTCAAATTGTTAATCACGCTTCATAACACGCTAATTCACAGAAACTGTAACTAAGGTCTTTTCAGCATAGTTGCAGTATAAACCACAGGTTGAATAAACACAAATGCACATGAGCGATTGGCTAACCGCACTAGTAACCGGGTATCATCGAATACGAGTGGCCAGCTATACATTGTAATCGTAATGTTAGCCGTTTCCTCATATGGATACATTCGGCATTCATTGACCAAGCATCCAGTGCTACTGTCGCTTGAAATTTATAAAATTTTTCTCTTGAAACAATTTGCAGGCAAAATAGGTTTTTCAAGTTCAGTAACTGTTCTCGCTCTTTCCAGTATTTGATGGGGGTTTCCTTCCTAACCTTTTGTTTGAAGTAATGTGGAATATCAACATATTGATTATGTATTTTCTTTTAAAATTTTATACATTTTATTTGCTGCTTCTGTTTTTGAAGGTCATAAAGTGATATAATTTCTGTTATTTGGTAGATTTCTTTGTTTATAATTTTGTAGCGTCAGGTTTGAACAAGTATGGTCCTCGCTAAGACCTGAATGTTTGATTTGCTCAAATTCATTTTAACCTTTGGTCTAAGTAAGTCAAATTCATTTTAACCTTTGGTATAAGTAAGTCAAATTCATTTTAACCTTTGGTCTAAGTAAGTCAAATTCATTTTAACCTTTGGTCTAAGGTAAGTGGTTGTATTCAGCTGAGTCACTACAAAGTCGATGTACCACTTGCATACAGACATTTTTCAGGAAAACGTTTGACAATTTTGAAGTAGAAAAAAAAAGTTTTCGTGTGACGCATTTTATCCTTTGGGACTTCATTGGACAAAGGTGGTGTTTTCGTTGATACAACTACACATGCACCAGAAGAAGATAGGAAGGTGATCATTTATAAATTCATATTTAAATTTCTTCTTTTTTTTATATATGTTTTCGGTATATAGTCTAGACGATTTCATTTAGCTTCTTTTTCTTGATGTGTATGTTTTTATCCATTTTGTTATTAAATATCCCACATTGTTATAATAGATCTGCCAGGAAAGCTGAAATTTTATAAGAACCTGAACGTAACTTTTCTGTGGATGATCTAACGACTAAAGCACTTTCTCTACATTTTCTTAGCAAATTACTATCCTTTTTCATTAAAGTAGTATTTTCTGAATCAAAGTTATGGTCACGCTATTACACAGAGCATCTAATGCATTGAGTGTATTGTTTTGTAAAAATTATCCCTTTTATGTTCATTTATTTAAATTCCTTGCTTTCTCCTATATATTCCTTTACATTTTGTTTGTGTATATTAGATTTATATATCGTTTTCCCATACAGACAACTTCAACGTTTGGATTTTTGCAGTCTTCAAATAGGAAGTACACTCTGAAATCATCCAATCCTGACTGGACCTTGATTTATCCTATTTTCAATTTGAAGTATTTTCTAAGTTTTGATTTTTTAGTCGATATTTTAGTTGTTGTTAACTGACTAGATATTTCCTTACCAGGAACAGATTTTTAGATTTCGGCCTGGCGTGTCACTGAGGGAGGGGCGCATTAGTAACTCGCGTGATGGATGATGCAGTATTCAGCTAGATTTTAGGCATTCTCTTGAGGTATAAAATGTTTGTTTTTATATCGGAATTTCATTCTCCCAGATACATGACCATTGAGAGAGCTAATGAGTGTATTTATCCATTTGGTTTTATATAGCTACCTCCACAAAATCGCTAAAAAATGAGTATACTGTAATGAAAAAAAATGTTCCAAACTTAATGAAAACACTTTTATAATCAAAATCTTTATGTTAATATTAAGAGGAAAGATCAAAATATTTTTTGAATATTTAATTAGATTTTTTAATCTTTTTCAGAATATTCGAAATGTTTAATTAAAAAATTTGTTTTTCCCGCGTCAGCGGATGTATTATAAATCAGCAAAGCATATTTTCGTATCTTTTTGCTGTGACAGACATATTAATTCGAAAATTCTAGCAAAAATCAAATAATAGTCTAATGAAGTTTTCAGGACTTATTCACAACTGAATGAATTTATCTTAGAAATTTTTTTTTTTAGAAAATCTATTTTTTTAACATTTCATACCACTTAATTTTTTGGAATACTCGAGAAATTCAGTGTGATAATTTTTAGTGACTATATTAGTTAAAAGCAGAACTCTTTACAGAATTTAAATCGTGAATTTTCTTCTTTTTTTTTCTTCTAAAATCAGAGCCCGTCTTACCAAAAAATCTGCTCTGAATCGTAAAATAAAAAAAATGCAACAAAACTAAGCATTACTTAATTAGAGAAGATTTAATTGCTTTTCTGAATAATATATATTAAGGACACTATTGTCTTAAAAAATTCGATGAAAAATGAAATTTTACAATATTTGCATTCATTTTTTTACAATTTTAATTAGAAATACTTATAATATTTTAAAATCTTTTAAAATCCAGTTTCATTTGTGTAACATTTAGCAAATATTTTTATTTAGTAAAACTATATTTACTAATCATATATCGTAAGACTTATTACAAACTGACGGCAGGGAACATTTTTAAAAGAATTTTGAATTATTTTTGTATGTGTATAAACGTGCCGAATTTTATAGATACGGTGGCCCAGACACAATATTATCAGAAATTAAGAGCGATAACTATAGTAAATCTAGAGCCCAAATTCTCTAAAAATTCAATAAACATCAGATTACGGAGAATACACTTAATTTTTTTAAGATTATCTAGTACTTAAAAGGCGCTTGCGTTATATTCCTCAATTATTTTTAAGGTTAAAAGCACCGTAAAACAACATTTGGTAAAAAATCTGACTGTCATCGAGCTATCACGGAGCCGTTAACATAAATAAAGAAGCTACCGTCGTGTTAAAAAAAAATTGAATTTCTATGATATTTTAAACTTAAAGTAAATAATATTTAAACCTTAAATCAGCTAATATTCCTTAAATAGCGTTTCAGAAAAGTATATATTATTTTGGGAAGATTTTTTAATATAGAGATTTGAAGTTTTATAATAATTTGTTAAAAATAGCGCTAAAAAGTAGAAATTTCAAAACGAAAACTCCTTCCAATCAATTTAAATAAGTTTTGAAATACAGCATAGTATATTTATTATTGGGAATATTAAAATTAATCAATCAGCTTGAAATTAAAATTAAAATAGAAGCTTCAGGAAAGATGTTTCATTATTAAAAATTAATTTTAAACGTTTAGTATCGCATTTTTGTAGAGGTAGCTAGTTTTATATCAGACTTTGTCTTCTCCCAGATGAATTGCCTTCACCACGGTTGAGCGTGTGCATATCACCGGCATGTAAAGACATGCAACAAATTAAATCTTAAGTAAAGTGATTATTCGTCGACAGGAATAAAATTGGGAGTCTATAAGGTTTTTAATTTTGTTTAAGTTTTACACTTGTATTGAGGTGAGAGTGACACTAGAAAGCATGGGGTTACAGGGAGTGAACGAGAATGAGAAGACTGAGAATGGGGAGGGGTGAGAAAAGAACAAAGAAAGAACATGATTGAGGAAAGGACACAGAAGGGACAGGGTTGAGGAAAGGAAAAAGAAGGAACGGGGTTGAGGAAAGGACAAAGAAGGAAAAGGGTTGAGGAAAGGACAAAGAAGGAACAGAGTTGTGGAAAGGACAAATAAGAAACAGAGGTGAGGAAAGGACAAAGAAGGAACGGGGTTGAGGAAAGGACAAAGAAGGAACAGGGTTGAGGAAAGGAAAAAGAAGGAAAAGGGTTGAGGAAAGGACTAAGAAGGAACAGGGTAGAGGAAAGGACAAAGAAGGAACAGGGTTGAGGAAAGGAAAAAGAAGGAAAAGGATTGAGGAAAGGACAAAGAAGGAACAGGGTAGAGGAAAGGACAAAGAAGGAACAGGGTTGAGGAAAGGAAAAGAAGGAAAAGGGGGAAAAGGAAAGGACAAAGAAGGAACAGGGTAGAGGAAAGGACAAAGAAGGAACAGGGCTGAGGAAAGGAAAAAGAAGGAAAAGGGTTGAGGAAAGGACAAATAAGAAACAGAGGTGAGGAAAGGACAAAGAAGGAACGGGGTTGAGGAAAGGACAAAGAAGGAACAGGGTAGAGGAAAGGAAAAAGAAGGAAAAGGGTTGAGGAAAGGACAAAGAAGGAACAGGGTAGAGGAAAGGACAAAGAAGGAACAGGGTTGAGGAAAGGAAAAAGAAGGAAAAGGGTTGAGGAAAGGACAAAGAAGGAACAGGGTAGAGGAAAGGACAAAGAAGGAACAGGGCTGAGGAAAGGAAAAGAAGGAAAAGGGTAGAGGAAAGGACAAATAAGAAACAGAGGTGAGGAAAGGACAAAGAAGGAACGGGGTTGAGGAAAGGACAAAGAAGGAACAGGGTTGAGGAAAGGAAAAAAAGGAAAAGGGGTTGAGGAAAGGACAAAGAAGGAACAGTGTAGAGGAAAGGACAAATAAGGAACAGGGGTTGAGGAAAGGACAAAGAAGGAACAGGGTTGAGGAAAAAGAAAAAGAAGGAAAAGGGTTGAGGAAAGGACAAATAAGGAACAGGGTAGAGGAAAGGACAAAGAAGGAAACAGGGTTGAGGAAAGGAAAAAAGAAGGAAAAGGGTTGAGGAAAGGACAAAGAAGGAACAGGGTAGAGGAAAGGACAAAGAAGGAACAGGGTTGAGGAAAGGAAAAGAAGGAAAAGGGTTGAGGAAAGGACAAAGAAGGAACAGGGTAGAGGAAAGGACAAAGAAGGAACAGGGCTGAGGAAAGGAAAAAGAAGGAAAAGGGTTGAGGAAAGGACAAAGAAGGAACAGGGTAGAGGAAAGGACAAAGAAGGAACAGGGTTGAGGAAAGGAAAAAGAAGGAAAAGGGTTGAGGAAAGGACAAAGAAGGAACAGGGTAGAGGAAAGGACAAAGAAGGAACAGGGCTGAGGAAAAGACAAATAAGGAACAGAGTTGAGGAAAGGAAAAAGAAGGAAAAGGGTTGAGGAAAGGACAAAGAAGGAACAGGGTAGAGGAAAGGACAAAGAAGGAACAGGGTTGAGGAAAGGAAAAAGAAGGAAAAGGGTTGAGGAAAGGACAAAGAAGGAACAGGGTAGAGGAAAGGACAAAGAAGGAACAGGGCTGAGGAAAGGAAAAAGAAGGAAAAGGGTAGAGGAAAGGACAAATAAGAAACAGAGGTGAGGAAAGGACAAAGAAGGAACGGGGTTGAGGAAAGGACAAAGAAGGAACAGGGTTGAGGAAAGGAAAAAGAAGGAAAAGGGTTGAGGAAAGGACAAAGAAGGAACAGTGTAGAGGAAAGGACAAATAAGGAACAGGGTTGAGGAAAGGACAAAGAAGGAACAGGGTTGAGGAAAGGAAAAAGAAGGAAAAGGGTTGAGGAAAGGACAAATAAGGAACAGGGTAGAGGAAAGGACAAAGAAGGAACAGGGTTGAGGAAAGGAAAAGAAAAAAAGAAAAGGGTTGAGGAAAGGACAAAGAAGGAACAGGGTAGAGGAAAGGACAAAGAAGGAACAGGGTTGAGGAAAGGAAAAAGAAGGAAAAGGGTTGAGGAAAGGACAAAGAAGGAACAGGGTAGAGGAAAGGACAAAGAAGGAACAGGGCTGAGGAAAGGAAAAGAAGGAAAAGGGTTGAGGAAAGGACAAAGAAGGAACAGGGTAGAGGAAAGGACAAAAGAAGGAACAGGGTTGAGGAAAGGAAAAGAAGGAAAAGGGTTGAGGAAAGGACAAAGAAGGAACAGGGTAGAGGAAAGGACAAAGAAGGAACAGGGCTGAGGAAAAGACAAATAAGGAACAGAGTTGATGAAAGGACAAATAAGGAACAGAGTTGATGAAAGGACAAATAAGGAACAGAGTTGAGGAAAGGACAAATAAGGAACGGGGTTGAGGAAAGGACAAAGAAGGAACAAAGTTGAGGAAAGGACAAATAAGGAACAGAGTTGAGGAAAGGACAAAGAAGGAACGGGGTTGAGGAAAGGAAAAAGAAAGAAAAGGGTTGAGGAAAGGACAAAGAAGGTACAGGGTTGAGGAAAGGAAAAAGAAAGAAAAGGGTTGAGGAAAGGACAAAGAAGGAACAGGGTAGAGGAAAGGACAAAGAAGGAACAGAGTTGAGGAAAGGACAATAAGGAACAGAGTTGAGGAAAGGACAAATAAGGAACGGGGTTGAGGAAAGGACAAAGAAGGAACAAAGTTGAGGAAAGGACAAATAAGGAACAGAGTTGAGGAAAGGACAAAGAAGGAACGGGGTTGAGGAAAGGAAAAAAAAAAAGAAAAGGGTTGAGGAAAGGACAAAGAAGGTACAGGGTTGAGGAAAGGAAAAAGAAAGAAAAGGGTTGAGGAAAGGACAAAGAAGGAACAGGGTAGAGGAAAGGACAAAGAAGGAACAAAGTTGAGGAAAGGACAAATAAGGAACAGAGTTAAGGAAAGGACAAAGAAGGAACGGGGTTGAGGAAAGGAAAAAGAAAGAAAAGGGTTGAGGAAAGGACAAAGAAGGAACAGTGTAGAGGAAAGGACAAAGAAGGAAAAGGTTTGAGGAAAGAACAAAGAAGGAACAGGGTAGAGGAAAGGACAAAGAAGGAAAAGGTTTGAGGAAAGAACAAAGAAGGAACAGGGTAGAGGAAAGGACATAGAAGGAACAGGGTTGAGGAAAGGAAAAAGATGAACGGGGTTGAGGAAAGGAAAAAGAAAGAAAGGGTTGAGGAAAGGAAAAAGAAAGAAAAGGGTTGAGGAAAGGATAAAGAAGGAAAAGGGTTGAGGAAAGGACAAAGAAGGAACAGGGTTGAGGAAAGGAAAAAGAACGAAAAGGGTTGAGGAAAGGACAAAGAAGGAACAGGGTAGAGGAAAGGACAAAGAAGGAACAGGGTTGAGGAAAAGACAAATAAGGAACAGAGTTGAGGAAAGGACAAAGAAGGAACAAGGTAGAGGAAAGGACAAAGAAGGAACGGGGTTGAGGAAAGGAAAAAGAAAGAAAAGGGTTGAGGAAAGGACAAAGAAGGAACAGGGTAGAGGAAAGGACAAAGAAGGAACAGGGTTGAGGAAAGGAAAAAGAAGGAAAAGGGTTGAGGAAAGGACAAAGAATGAACAGGGTAGAGGAAAGGACAAAGAAGGAACGGGTTTGAGGAAAGGAAAAAGAAGGAACAGGGTTGAGGAAAGGACAAAGAAGGAACTAGGTAGAGGAAAGGACAAAGAAGGAACGGGGTTGAGGAAAGGAAAAAGAAAGAACTGGGTTGAGGAAAGGACAAAGAAGGAATGGGGTTGAGGAAAGGAAAAAAGAAAAAAAGGACAAAGAAGGAACAGGGTTGAGGAAAGGACAAAGAAGGAACGGGGTTGAGGAAAGGAAAAAGAAGGAAAATGGTTGAGGAAAGGACAAAGAAGGAACAGGGTTGAGGAAAGGACAAAGAAGGAACGGGGTTGAGGAAAGGACAAAGAAGGAACAAGGTAGAGAAAAGGACAAAGAAGGAACGGGGTTGAGGAAAGGAAAAAGAAGGAAAATGGTTGAGGAAAGGACAAAGAAGGAACAGGGTTGAGGAAAGGAAAAAGATGGAACTGAGTTGAGGAAAGGACAAAGGAGGAACAGGGTTGAGGAAAGGACAAATAAGGAACAGGGTTGAGGAAAGGACAAAGAAGGAACAAGGTAGAGGAAAGGACAAAGAAGGAACAAGGTAGAGGAAAGGACAAAGAAGGAACGGGATTGAGGAAAGGATAAAGAAGGAAAAGGGTTGAGCAAACGACTAAGAAGGAACAGGGTTGAGGAAAGGAAAAAGGAGGAACGGGGTTGAGGAAAGGACAAATAAAGAACGAGGTAGAGGAAAGGACATAGAAGGAACAGGGTTTAGGAAAGGAAAAAGAAGGAAAAGGGTTGAGGAAAGGACAAATAAGGAACAGGGTTGAGGAAAGGAAAAAGAAGGAAAAGTCGAGGAAAGGATAAAGAAGGAACGGGGTTGAGGAAAGGACAAAGAGGGAACAAGGTAGAGGAAAAGACAAAGAAAGAACGGGGTTGAGGAAAGGAAAAAGAAGGAAAATGGTTGAGCAAAGGACAAGGAAGGAAAAGGGTTGAGGAAAGGAAAAAGAAGGAAAAGGGTTGAGGAAAGGACAAAGGAGGAACGGGGTTGAGGAAAGGAAAAAGAAGGAAAATGGTTGAGCAAAGGACAAAGAAGGAACAGGGTTGAGGAAAGGAAAAAGAAGAGACGGGATTGAGGAAAGGACAATGAAGGAACAAGGTAGAGGAAAGGACAAATAAGGAACAGGGTTGAGGAAAGGACAAATAAGGAACAGGGTTGAGGAAAAGAAAAAGAAGGAACAAGGTAGAGGAAAGGACAAAGAAGGAACGGGATTGCGGAAAGGAAAAAGAAGGAAAATGGTTGAGGAAAGGACAAAGAAGGAACAGGGTTGAGGAAAGGAAAAAGAAGGAAAGGGTTTGAGGAAAAGACAAAGAAGGAACGTCAGATTGAAAAAAATAACTGAATAATAGATATTCCATATCAGCCAAATAATGGTCACCTTAAGATATCCAGGGAACATTCGACCGAAACTTTGTGCCTATTGTTCCATTCTGTGTCGCCAATGGCTTCAGCATCTTACACCCCAACGCTATTTCATAGATTGTATCAACGGTTTTGTTTTTCTTATTCATTTTTATTATATGAGTGGGACAGATGTGGTAGCATCGGTTCTAGGAGATAGCGGAGGAAGATCTTCGTGGGAGGGGGGCCGCATGAAACTAGCTGGCTTAGCATTCCGCCACGTGCGACCCTGGCCTCTGTATGGAATCTCGGTGCGGAAAGCGTGTCGATGCTTCAAAATTCTTGCAATCCTCTGTCGACTTTGTGCCGTTTTGTTTTTATATCTCAAACTTAGAGAAATGCAATCCATCATTGTCAGAATTCTTCGCCCACGTGCTATCCTGGCCAGTCGCTCGCCATTCCAGCCCAGCATCAGCATTATGAAACAATATAATAACATCTATAATAATCAAGATCAGAACAATCGTTCGAATAAGTTTAAGTACAGAGTTATTCAAAAAGATTGAACCGTTTTCATGACACATTGCTTCATTTCTCAAGTATCGTCATGGAATGAGTCAGTGACCATTTGAAAGAGGAATTTTGAATGGCTGCCACAGGGGCGCAGTTATCGCACCGTATCTTCGGCAACGTTCAGTTGTTTGTTTAACCCCCGGAATGGCGAGTCCTCAGCAAAAGGCGGTCTGCGTTCTCGTGTTCGCGAAAACAAATACGGTTGTCAGGGTGCAGCGTGCTTTTCGAAGGGAATCCGCGCTCTCCTAAGGACATTCGACAGTGATTTAAACAGAGTGTAAAGGAAAAAGTCCAGAACGATCCAGAGTTTCGGAGGAACAAGTGGCGAGAATCCTTGTTGCGTTTAATTGAAGTCCACGGAAGTCCACAAATCAAACTAGACGTGAGCTTGGGATCTCTCAATCCACTTAGCTGTTCTAAGAAGACGTCTACATTTGAAACTTTACAGACTGCACCTCGTTCAAGAACTTACCAAGACCTTGCTCTTTGTCCTTGGCTTGCGAGATCCCCAGACTTCACCGTGTGTGATTTTTTTCTTGTGCGGTTACGTAAAATATCACGTTTATTTTCCACCGCTACCCACTAACCTCGATGACCTTAAACATCGAATAACAACACCGATCAAATCAGTGGATCGTGATATGATGATACGCGTCTTATCGCATTGTTGTAGCTCGTGTTGCAGGTGGTGGTCACATTGAACACTTGTAAGACAGAAATATAGTTGATTATGAGTAGAATACTTGTGAATTGACTGGAGTTTTCTGTTGCTTTTACTTATTAAAATATTGCGTAATGACATCAGTTCATTCCTTTTGAATAACCCTGTATATTAAACAATAAAGAATTTAGTATAAACTTCATCTCATTTTAGAGGGCAAGTTATGGAAGAATTATTATTCGTTCAGCGATCAGTATGCATAGTTAACATGTTGCGTCGACAAAGTGTGGTATTTTATCTTTGCTGGTATATTCTAATTAATATTCCGGAAGCCTATGTTCAAGAATAGTACTACAGCATTGTAGCTTAAATAAGTCTGTATTGCTGCAACGTCACTTGTACAAATCACAATATCGCTGGTTCAATTCACTGTCCTCGCTTTCTTCACACGTCACTACGTATAGCCAACGTTTCTGCTTCCTTTTTCACGGCTCCAGCACTCTTTTATCAGGCCAACACCGCGGTTCCCCAGCCAATCAGCGTTCTTCGCTGTTATTCTCGGTTACACAGGCAAATTGCCTTTTCCAGTTCGACCAATCAGCACACGAATTGCTATTGCATTTCAAACTGTACAAAAACACCCTCATCATTGCACATACTGCTAGAGTGGCTGGACGGGAGAGTAATGCCATTTTCACGAAGCAAACTTGCTCATGTCACGTGCCGCACGTGAAGGTAAGACACTTATTTTCCTATACACCAGATGCAAGCCACTCTGGCTCGCTTGCTTCTACGGGGCTGTTCACCACAAGCATTCATATTGCCGTACCAACAGAGGTCATATAATAATCATTCAATAATACATTTCTAACACAACGCCGAAGTGGTTAAGCACCTTACATTCCATGATCTGCTCTCTGTCAAGCAATATGATTTCCGCTTTGCTCGATCTAACGTTGATGTGCTCACGGCCATAACTCAATTTGCTTACTAAGCACTTCACAATAACGGAGAAGCTCGCGCCGTGGCTCTAGATGTCTCTAAAGCGTTTGATAGGGTTTGGCATGCTGGCCTCCTTCGTAACCTTCAGGGGTACGGGATTTCAGGACGATTATTTGACAATACAATCATTCCTATCAAACCGTGTAATGAAGGTTTTCCTCCAGTTCTTTTCTCACGAACGCAGGTGTTCCCTAAGATTCTATCCTGGGTCCTACACTGTTTCTTATATTCATTAACGATCTTCCTGATGTCATCAGTTCCCAAGTAGGCATCTATGCAGACGACATTAATATTTACTCCTGCCTAAATACCAAATCTGGTATCGCTGACAAAATTAACCGTGCTGTTGCTCTCGAAAAAGACCTCCAATAAATTGTTGACTTGGGCAGAAAATGGCTGGTTAACTTTAATACCTCAAAAACAAAACCTACCACAGATAATCCTTCTTGCCTCTAATTAGAAGAGCACCTCTTTGCGACTGTTTGGTCTCACAATATCCGCTGACCTGAGATGGAACAATTACATTGAATCAATAGCTTGATCTACCACAGAGAATGTTGGTTCTCTGTGTCAAGTTTTTCTCGCCAGTGTCTATTCTTCAAATCAACCATTCGCCCTTACATGGAATACTGCTGTCATATATGGTCTGGAACCCCCACTGTTCGTCTTAGGGTCCTCGACAAAATCCAGAGACGGATATGCAATGTGGTTGGCTCTGATCTGGCATCTCGTTTACAGTCGGTCTCTGACAGACGTACCGTAGCCTCCCTCTGTCTTTTCTACACATACTTTCACGATAACTGCTCCGACGAGCTACTTTCGCTGGTTCCTAAACTGCATGAATTTAAACATAGGTTAGCATCTCAGTCTCACCCTTTCACTGTGGAAACGGTTAAATGTAGCCGTCTCTTCTACTCTAATAAATTTATGTCTCGCACTTCCTGTCTGTGGAACTCTCTTCCTTTTACTTGCTTCCCCGACAGTTATAGTCTTCAAATATTCAAATTTAATATCAATCGACATCTTCTGATGCCTTGATTTAATTCCCCGTCCTTCTCTTTATCCTTTCCTCTATCGAGCTTTTTTAGTCTTGCTTTCACTTTCTGTAACCCCTTGCTTGCTAGTGGCACTCCCGCCTTGCTTGGAGTGAAAAGCTTAAAAAAAATTAAATATGCAGTTTGCATGCCAACCGCTTGATAACTCGTGTTTGGCAGTTTTTATTATGACGCCGACAACGAGTTATTTTCATCCGCGGGCGCCTATAACGAATTTGGTCGCTGTAATACTTTTAATGGGAAAGAAATGTAAGAGGATATCAGTTGGAGCTATAACTCCACTATTAAAATCAATTTATTGTCTAAGTTGTCTACTATAAAGTTGGCGTTTGATGTCAGATTTCCTAATTGAAACAGTCAACGTGTTAAAAACTGAAATATTCTCTCTATTCTTTGATAAATATCACAGCAGACTTGCTAGAATGTCCGTCTAACATACGTGAAAAGTGATCGATACTTAGCCTTTATAAAATGCACTATTCCTTGGTTCGTGTTCGATTAAAATATGTCATGTCTATCGGTAAGCCACTGTATATCCATTTTTTTTAAACAGGAGTTTGTTTTAAAGACGTTGATTTTTTAAGCGTAGTTTAGTTGTAGCACAAGGTCTAAAGTATGGGAACCCAATGAAGATCGAACTCACTATTCAGTTGTAATTGATCTAGCGGAGCAAACCTGCTAACCATTACACTACATCAAAGCGCCCTAGTCTGTTTTCAAGATGGCCTGAAAAATTGTCAAGAATAGGAATTTTGTAGTCTTCCAGTTGGCCCCCAAATACACAGTTAAACCGTTAATTTGTCCGGATAGAAAAGAAGTTCAAATTACCGGAAAATCGGTAGAATACTTGTATTAATATGGGAAAGATAATCCTCTAGTTTAAATACAACTGCTGCTTGCATTGGCGTATATAGTTAGAAACATTCAACAGTTGATTTTTCAGCCAATCAGATTTCAATATCAGACTTTTAGCCAGCGCCAGTCTGGAGCTTCTCCATCTTCTTTGCGCTCTGTCTCCTCAGGACGTAGGCGATCATGGCTCTCCACAATTTCCTGTCTTTTGTATCTCTTAATAAAATTTACCTTTTTGCTACCTCTCCTAAGCTATGTTTTGCCAATCATTTACCCAAGCTTGTTTGTTAAGTCATGTGCTCATTTCTTCTGGTTCTCTTGCTTTTCATATGCCCTGTAAGTGTCAATTTTTCCAAACCTTCTTTCCTCGTTTTCTGCCTTTGAAATTTCAAATATTTCTTTCTGATATTAAGTATAAGTGTCCACTTTGTTTCCATTTTCTCTAAAACTTCGCACATTCGCTTCATAGATTTCTCAGCATACTTCTATAGAACGACATTTCTGTTGCGTCAAGTCTCTTCTTCATCTGTGACGAGATTGTCCAGTATTAATTGCTATATAGAAGGACTGATATTACGTAACAGTTCAGTATTATTTTCATCGTTGTTCAGTTCATGGTATTCTCAGTATCCTTCTATAGAACAATATTTCTGCTGCCTTAAGTCTCTTCTTCATCTGTCTTCATTTAAATAAGCTTCATTTTTTTTTAAATAGTTAAACAAATCAAATATTACCACTTATGCTATAAACGGAATTTGAACGCAATAAGATTGATAGCGCGTTCGTTTTATAGCGGTATGTGATTTGCCGTTTTGTTTTACTGATTTATGATGAAGTCACACTGAAAAAATAGCGTTACACAAATTTATAAAAGATGAATTAATTATTCGTTCTTTCTTCAATTTTCCCATGTGA